GTTTTAAACTTCAATTTTTATCCAGGAAATGTGACTATAAAAACTACATTTTTTGCTTGAGTTTTAACGCTTCAGCAATTATCCAAAACATGTGACTATCAAAAAACTAGAGTCTTATAATTTTGGGATTTAAATATTATCCAGAAGATGTATCCATTAACACTATAGACACTTTTTAACTTTAATTTTAATGAATACGTGATCATTCAGAGGGTCTAGCTACCAACAGTTTGAGTTTCTATAACATAGTGATCATTCAGAGATTAGTCACCAATAGGTACAGTGATTATCTTGCGTTTTAGCTACTTAGTTATTATCCAGAAGATTTAGTGTTTGACGTGTGTTTAGTATAAGTTCTCTTATGATAATGAAATATATATTTTTCGGTCATGGTTACTCGAATGTCTAAGCAATGGAATTACAATATTTAAGCTCAGAAAAAAAATTGATGACAGAAGAAATTATGTTACTAAATGTAAATAGTAATTTAAGCTAAACCTTCCAGTTTTTTTATTATTAGTAGTAATGTTTCTGCATTCTTTTGATTCTGTGAAACAGCTGAGCGTAATGTTTCGTGTACATATTATAAGGAGATTTTTTTCCAATATATTGCATACTTGCATATCCATCGTACAATTATAAAACCGGTTATGAATATCTGCTAGAATTAGCAGGAAAGTTTAGGCCCGGTGAGACAAAGAACGCATTGAGTAGAAATTCATGTTTTCAGACGTGGTCATCATTAATAAAGATTGGTAATTCAGTCAAGAAGCATTTTACCTATTAAACAAGGATAGAAATAACATATGCCTATACATCTGTTCCACATATGTTATTTCTATCCTTGTTTAATAGGTAAAATGCTTCTTGACTGAATTACCAATGTTTATGAATGATGACCATGTGTGAAAACATGAACCTATACATTTGTTCCACACATGCTCATGCCTACAACCCTTGAGATCCCTAATTTTAAACAAAATACTGGGCTTAAAATAGGTTATTGTCTATCGTAAAATAAAATATAACCCATTGCAGTATTTTACCATCACTTTTTATTTCGTTATGATACACATATGTTATGAACAACAATCATCATACTGAATTAGAATACAACCAACAACAATTATTATTCATATTTCTAAGAATCTAAGTAAATAACATTAAAAGGATTAAACTTCAGTATCTTTAGATGCACCCATCTATTTGAACAGGTTGGGAAAATTATTACTTCTTCCTATATCGTCGTTATTGTGAATAACGTCATTTAGTACAGAACGATATTTCAAGTTTAAAAAACAATATCTTTCCAATATTCTACGTTTAATTTTAATTTTTTGTTTATGTGAATTTTTAGTTAGAATTCTTAGCATACAAAAATAGCTTTAAGTGGGTAATTTCAATTAATTCATTAATATTATATTGTTTAAATCTATTCTTGAAAATGCTTTGATTAGAAATAAAATTTTGTTTTATACAAAATTAATAAATTATTTTCAGTTACTTCTTTAAAACAGTATTTTTTTTTTCAGTGAGCACATTCGTATCAACGATTTTCTCGTGCACTACCAATTATAAAAGTTTTGTTGTTGTTTGAATAAAGTTCATCCGAGCCAATTATACGTACTTCTCGCAAATAACATTTTAGGATACTCTAAAGAGATGCAATATAATATACCTATGAACAAGCAAAAGTTTTATTTTATATTAAAAAAAGAAGATATTATTAAGTCTAATTTTAATCTCGTCTCACGTACAACAGATGGCATAAATTCAGAAAGTTATTGGATCCGTGCGTTTTTCTTATAGCAAAGCCACATCGGGCTATTCTGCTGTGTCCACCGAGGGGAATCGAACCCTTGTTTTTAGTGTTGTAAATCTGTAGATTTACCGTTGACCCAGCGGAGGACGTTATGAGATCCTTTCAACATTGTTTACTTAGCTACTGCATTATATATATATTATATATGCGGCTGAACAGGGTAGGCAACGAATATTTTCCTAATATGTTTAACCTTCTATAAAGACATGGAGTGAAGAAGGCCTTTAGAATCAACGGATCTACAGTAAATATGTGATTATCTAAAGGCAAGACCATGCATGGTCAAGTAAACCTAAAGTGATTCCAAATGGTTTTCTATACCAAATGTTCAGATAGCCAACAAGGGTAGTGCCATTTTAAATATATTGTTACTACTAATAAAGATATAGTTTCAAGAACTCAAGTGGGGAAGAATTAGGTAAGATTAATCATTGCTTATTTACGTTTAATATTTTGCTACATGTTGAGATAAAAGAAACGAAATATTAGCTCCTAACATATGAAAACCTATTTTTGTGGTCACAGGACATGATTTAGGACAGAGGTGGTAAATTTTAAAAATAAATTACCTTTAATTCATAATAGGCTTGCTCCTAAAAAAGAAGAAAATTATAACAAATAAGATTAGACATTATCGGCTTTTTAAATATATAAAAGAGAAAAATCAGAGATAAATCTCACAATTTCAAGAAGTTTAAATTTGCTGACAGGTTGAAAGATTCACAGTGTAATAGGTTTGTCTATTTGTTTGTTGTTAAGCACAGAACTACACAATAGACTATTAGTTCTGTGCCCATCAGCTTGGTTTTTAGCGCTATAAGCCTTCAGACTTATCGCACGGGGGGGGGGAGACTAATATGGAGATTAAAAATAGATAAAGCACTAGGACTAGACAAGGTTTTTCCTCGGGATTTAAAGGCACAGCCTTTATCCCTCTATTTAATTCTTGGGGTCATTAGACAGTTGGTGGATGCTTGAGTATTGTCGAGTTGATAATGTTAGACCCGTAGTTTAGAGAGGGCGACAAGAAATGCTCTGGAAACTATAAGCCAGATAGTCTTGCTTCTCTAGTGGGAAAACTTCTAGATAGTCTGATAAAAGAAGCTTTATAAAATAATTTAGTGAAATATGATATTATAAATGAAAGATAAAATGGATTCATAAATGGGAAAATTTCGCCTTCCTAATCTGTTATCTCTTTTCAATGATCTTATTTATTATCTGGACATAGGAAAAATTCTTGACTTGGAGTACTTATCTAAGAAACTCACATCAGTATGGATTGGGGAAAGGCTAGTTAACTGGGTTTTAGGTTATATGGATATCAAGAAAACAGTAGATTGTTATTAATGGGGTTCAGTTAAACTGAACCTTTGTTACTAGTTGAACACCTCTGGGGTTAGTGCTTGAGCCTTTGCTTTTTTATTTACATTAATGATACTGATTGGGGCATGATTAGTAAATTATTTAAAGTTTGCTGATACCATTAATCCCTTGGGACTTTTTAGCAGTAATGAAGATCATTAGTACAGAATTATTTGTATCAGTTGGTAAGTTGGTAAATTAATGAGCAAATGACGATGAATTATAATAAGTGCACGGTATTTGGTTATATAATACTTTGAGTTATCATAACTTGGATCACACGTTCAATATAGATGGGAACCTACTCAATAGCACGGCTGAAAAAAGGGATTTTGGCATAATAGTGAATAAGTCAGTCAAATCAACCAAGCAGTGCTCTGTTATTAATATTAGAGCTAGGATGATTCTAGGGAGAAACGATAGGGTTAAGGCTCCAATTTCTTTGTGCTGTATTTAGAATATAATAGGACGAGAGAAAATAACCGCAAGATATCACAAATCAGAAGCAAATGTTATGAGTCCATATTCTTTTCGTTAATAAATTGCTGTTTAAAGACGAGTTTGTTTTTGTTTTTTTTGCACTCTTTTTTGCATGTCTTTTCTTGTGTATCAAGTTATTTGCTTCTGCTCTAGACAAAACTATGTTTGTTTCATCTCCAGAAAGTTGTTTAGCAAAATCTCATTAACTTCTACTCTGTGCCTATATATTGTCCAGAATTGTCAAATATATTCAAATGAATGTGACGTTGTAGCTACATTCATTTACTATTGAGACCCGAGAAAGTGCTAGTGACAAACATAATTTGTCAGACATTAGACATAGAATTGATTAAAAGGAAATAATTCTATTAGTGCTACAAAAATTACTTAGCATTTGCTAAGGTAGTGCGCGTTCTATATAATTCCATTCATCAATATAACGTGAATACTAAAATGACGCAAAACATTCTGCTTTAATCGTATAACTCTGATTAGAGTCAACACTTGCTTTTCGAATGTACGAGGGATTAAAGCTGTACTTGATAATTTATGTTTGAAGTTAATTTTGCCTTTAAACACAGAGTTATGGTTGCTTAAAGTTTTAAAATTTTAATGTAAAATAACAATGTTATAACTTTTACATGTTCACGTTCTTTCATACAAAACTTGAAAATTCTGGTGACTTTTGCAACCACTGCTAAAACTTTATAGTTCTGTGAGTTTTGAAAATGATTTCAAGTAGTTTCCATTACAAAATGTAACTGCTTCAAAATATCTGCATCAAAGTATCTATTTTATTGTCAGGCTTATGATACGTGTATTTAAAACACTGATTGTGATATTAGTTGAGTTTGACGAAAACGTTTACATATATTACATAATTTGTAGGATCAATATTTCTGTGTAACTGAGACACGTTGGTTGAATAAGTTTACATACGTGAATGACCTAACTTTCGTAATAGCTAGAAGTAAATTCTACATGTCTTTTATACATTTATATTTTCCGTAAGAAATGAAATGTTGTTCAACTATAGCTTTATTTTTTTCAGAGTATAAATGAACACGTATAATTTATCAAATGTTAAAATTCGTCAATAGCTCAAAAAATTAAAAAAAAACAATATATCTGAATATATAAAACAATTCTTACATCTAGTGTTTTACTACATCAATCACATTGTCGTGTAGCAAATCAATCATAAAGAAATGTTTTAAAACGGTTACTAAGACATAAAGAAAGCTAAATTAATTATTTCTACTGTGATGTTGATCTTTTTTATCTAAATTTTATACCATATGGCTTATATTTTACCTGGTTGTTCTTTCTAAAGCTGGTATGAACAGAAGACAGTCCCTTGCCAGACTTCATACAATGACGATTGAAGCGCCAATCACGAAGGTGAGTGACAACAGTATTATGATACATTATTTAGTTAAATTACAATGGTGGATTATCAAGTAATGTAATGTAGTTGATTAAAAATTACAAAAGAGGTGATAAGAAATATTGTCATATATTACTTACATAAATTACGGGGGGGGGGGATTATCAATTAATATTATGTATTTGTTTCAAAATTACAAAAGTGGATGATAAAAATATTGCCACATGTTATTTACTTGGATTACGAGAGTGGTTATCAAGTAATATTTATACTTGTTTTAAAATTACGAAGTTGGATAATAAACACTGTGATAGCATATTCAAATTATGTATGACATAGCTAAATAGTAGAATGCTGTAATATATTACTAATTTAGATAGGTGGGAAATAAAATGCTTATGATGCCCTTATATTTGTTCACAGCTGGGAAAACAACAACAACATTATTCAGGTTCATTACACTGCAGAAGGTTTGCCATAAATAATTTCTATAATTAACCTATGAACTGTTCATAATATATAGGTTTTTATATTCTGACACTCAATTATATCGGATCATAAACTGGTCGTAACTACAATAATTTGCAGTGCGTGCTTATGAGTCTTCAAGAGGAATTTTTACGTTCTTACTCAGCACTTTGTCATGTTGGCTGTACGCTTTACTTTCTCAGATCAGTTGTCATAGACAAATACTTAAAATATTTTTGCTAGGAAAATTGAACTTTTTTTTTATTACTATTATGTAGTTCTTGGTTGCGTCTAAAGAATTTCGAACGTTACAGTTCTCGAGAAATCTCAAAAACTTACTAATGTTTCCTATAATAATACGAAATCACAAGTGCTTAGAGATTTTAAATGATAGGTAAAGATCGAGAGACAAAACTCCACCCAAGATGGCCTTGTACCTTTGCATCTCGCCCTTCGAAGTTCCTTGTTGTGTGTAGATGACTGTCGAGCAGCTAGAGCAAGCTAAGTATCAGTAAGCTCCAAAAAAAGCTCCATTTCCTTCCTAAAATGTGTAGAGTTTATCTAATGAGAGAGGTTACGACTAAAATATTACACATTGACAGTTAGTTCTTTTTTTCAAATCAACACCACCTATGTAAGTACAAAAAAAGCACAATCAGGAGTTAAATTGTAATGTCACTGAGTCAGGAAATTGGTGTTTCTTTGGCTGCAATAGATTATAACGTACAGCTTTTTATTTCATTTTTTTTTACAATTTGCTGAAGGTCATCAACATGCTATTAGCGACACAAGAGAATAGTCCCAACTTTGTGGCTAAAGACATAGACAAAATTTTGGAAATACTGAGAACCAGTGATCTCTACTCTCCGCAGTTGCTAGGGCTCAACCAACATCGGCGACCAACGGACGACAAGTTGACGTCAGATTTAATCAGCAGCCTCGTCATGGTATCTAAAGATTTACTTTACACATATACACACACTTTTGTTTTATTTGTTAGAAGTACAAATCGATTATAAACATATCAATGACCACTTTATTTTTAAAACTGTTCCCCTTGTATTATGTTTTAGAGTCTCCTTAGCTTCCGCAATCGACATAACTGTACAAAAGAACAAGTGAAAAGAGTTATTGGGTATTATTGTTTTTATAGAAACATTTGCGTTTGATATTACCTGTGAAAATAATGCTATGTGAAGCAAGTAATATTTAACGACGCTAGTAGTCACTTTTACGAAACATTATTGTTTAACGTAGAATATTTTCGTAAAATGAAAATGAAACATTCCATTGTTTAGTCAATATGACATCAGAGGATGTAGTACAATATCATATGGAAAACAAAATGTGTGTAATACTAATAAAATAACTTAATTAACTAACGTTGGCACATAAATTCTATGACGCAAATAAAGACCATATTAAGTAGCATTTATCTGTTAAACCAAACTTACTGCGCTAAACTGATGTGTCCCTATAGTACAACAAGGCTCGTTCCTAAGGTACGTCTCTCGTTTCTGATCGTTAGAGATTTCATAACTGTTGAGTTGTAATATGTTAACGTTAAGAGTTTAGTTAATAATGAACGTAAACGATGTATTAACGCAGATTTTGCTACAAATAATCCCCGCTTAACCTGTATCCTTTCTTTTTACTTTAATTCACAATCAACAACGAGCTGCCACCCACGGAGACTACTGTGGTAAGTCACATGTATGTAACTCTTGTGTGCATTATAGACAGTAGGTAGATGTCAGTGCTGTACTTGAAAAGAATGGCTTGAATTTCTTCTTGGAATATATGAGTTGCAAATAAAATCATACAACCTAACTGATATTCAAACTCTTAGCTATCATTATTTACTGCAAAACTATAAGCCAATCGCAGAATCCCCAAAAATATTCTACTGACTTCAAGAAATGAAACAGCTGCCTTTATATTTGTTCCAATGAAAAGGTGTGCTTATTACTGTCAGTCTGGAAACCCAGATTAGACATGATTAGCATATCTCTGCAAAAATTACGTACGAGTTTTATTGTGTAGGTATCATTTGTGCAACAATAATATTGTAATTAAAGACTTGTGCAACTTGGCCATTGTTGGAGTTACTTCATTATTATAGCAAGTTGGTTGCTTACAACTTGTTATTAAGGTACAATTTTGCTTAAAAATGTATATGTAATTTGTGCAACTTGGCCATTGTTGGAGTTACTTCATTATTATAGCAAGTTGATTGTTTACAACTTGTTATTAAGGTACAATTTTGCTTAGAAATGTATATGTAATTTGTGCAACTTGGCCATTGTTGGAGTTAGTTCATTATTATAAAAGTTGGTTGCTTACAACTTGTTATTAAGGTACAATTTTGCTTAGAAATGTATATGTAAAACCAGCAAATGTGAATGAATCCCAATAAGAAAGAAAATGTCTTAACTAATATATATTTTGTTGATCAGCTATGCAGAACAGCGAATGATAGAGACAAGCAGAAAATCCTATGTTGTTCTTTCTGCATCCAAACAACGAAAACAATACCAAAAAAACAACTCTCTACAAGATAATGTTTTCAAAAAAAAGAAACTTACACAGCTATGACATAATAAAACTCACAATAATAAAGCGCCAATTACTTTATAACGTCGATTTATATTTGATTTGACCTAATCTGTTGAGTACATGCTAGAAAATAAAGAATATATTAGTAAGTAACTTTTTACGTTTGCTTTACATTTTTTTGCACACGTAACAAGCACCGTTAAAATCTCGTATTCCATTATCGGTGATATTAAACACGTGAGCTAGTGAAGTTTGAAAGCTTTTCTTACATCTAATAAATGTTACAACACACCACAAGACTGTTTTCTTTCCCTAATTCCTGTAATCAGTCCATTACGATCTGTGTATCAAAAGTGTGTAAAAATAGCTTGTCGAGACTGCAGTTCACTGGCAAAGTACCATGAAGAACTTCGGCTCGCAGCTGTGATTTTTTTTTAAATATTTGTTGCAGTGCGAAAAATAAATACAGTGGTGTTAAACGCGAAGCATAAACTTCATTTTTGCGATGAAATGTAGCGTAGCCTCAGATGTCTTTTCTTCTCAGTATTGTTTTTATTTGTTGTTTGAGAAAATACGAATTTCGTACTAGAGGTGCGTCAAATAATTTTTACATTGAGTTCATAGAAATTTTATATCTCCAAAGTTGATAAAACGTTAAAAATATCCAAACATAGCAACAATAAGAAAGAACACCAAACAAAACGAACGTTTATTTTATTACAAGTTATAGCTTTTACAGTAATCAAGATTTGTATTTAGAACAGGTACGACGTTTCAATCACTGGAGAGATCATTCTCAAGTACACAAGTTTTAACAGTAAAAAACTAAACATTATTTGTCTGATTAT